TGACTAGAGCACATACATCTGTAACAAATCAAGAATAACGAGCATGAAAACAAATGATTCTATGATTTTTCTTGGATTAATTGTGTAGCGAACTATAAATGAAACTGATCCTCATCTGGAAGGACCCAGTGGGTCAAACATACAACAAAAAGATGAGAACTGATTGTGCTGTTCTAACAGTAAAGTTCAAGTTTCTAATTTGAGATGAAGAAGAGTAATTACTATAATCAGATATGCTTTTGGAAGTGAAAAGTTGTGATGATATCTATGTTCACTATTGTTGTGTTTCTTTAATGGACAGTATTTGCAAAACTTTACATTTGTATATTATTGCCATATACATATTACATATAAGTGTTTTTGTAATATATTTAATAATTAGAATAACGTTTGTTTGAAAATACAATACTCTGTATCTAATTATTGTATAATCCTTCTACATAATAGCAATATTGTGGAGGCTTGCATTTTTTTTTTGCTCAATTTCATATGCATTTTCAGTCACATGATAGAGAGAGCGATCTATTTCTCATTTTTGCTCACTCGTCCTACCTACACCCTGCATCGAAGATGCAAGGGACTTGGAGATATCCAGAAGTAGGCATGGACCCGGTTCGGGCCGCCCGGCCCGGGACCGGGCCGCCCGGCCCGGGACCGGGCCGGCCCGCTACTGTGCGGGCCCGGAACCGGCCCGGTTCTCGGGTCCGGGTCCGGGTCGGGCCTAGGCCGGGTGGGGGGGGCGGGTCCGGGCTCGGGCCTTGTATTTGGCGAACCGGCCCGGCCGGGTCGGGCCCGGGTCCGGGCCGATTTTTTTTTTCTTTTTCTTTTTTCTTTTTTGGGGTTACCCGGGTTGGGCTTGATGGTTAGGAGGGGTTTGGGGGGTGGGGGGGGGGGGGTTAGGAAAGCAAAAAAAAATGACCAAACCGGAGGCCCGGCCTGGACCCGGTGGCTACCCGGGCCGGTCCCGGGCCTTCCTTCCCAAAAAAAAAAACCCGGCCGGGCCCGAAACCGGCCCAGCCCGGGTCCATGACTATCCAGAAGTAGGACAAAATACATGGGAGTGTCAATTTCTAACCCGTCTCCTGAATTGACTCTATTTGCCAGCTTTCTCCAAATTCGTTTGACTTGAATCGCCGCATATCCTAGTTTGAATTCGTATCACTCAATTTCTAAGATGCGCCAAAGATGCAAGGACAAATTGTCTTAAATAGGACTAAATTGTTACTAAAATTCCAAAATAGGAGTATGTATATTTTTATTCCCTAAATGAGACTGAATTACCCATATACCCCTTATTTTCTCTCATTCCCGATGCGCACAGTACATCGATTATAACTCCTTCCCTAAGCCTCTTTCTCCCCCCACATAAGTATGCTTTCTTTTCCCTAGGCGCACAGTAGCCATTTACGATTTTTCGCAGCTTCTTTCTTCTCCCCTTATTTTCTCCTCACATTCGCACAAGAGCAACGAAACCTTGAAGCTCAGTCAAAATCGTTGCTGCCGCTATGGTGAAGGCCACCACCGCCGTCGTGAAGTCCACCACCATCGCCGCCGGAGATTGTCTTTTCTTCTCTTCTCCGCAGGTCATCTTCTCATCTCCGATTGTTCTCGTAGTTCTTCTTCCCCTCTTCAATTTCATTGCTTCGTTTCTTGTTTGATTGGTCAAAATGCCAAGTCAAACTTTGAATTTGCCATCAAAATGGCATTTTTTATTCATGTTGTCATTTTGATAAAATTTTTGGCATTGACACTCGAAATGGCCAGATCTGCAACGGTAGATAGCAGATTTGCAGTGACATATGCCGGATTAGTTGTGATGGTGGCCAGATCTACAACGGCAGCGGCCGCCGGCCGACGGAGGCTAGATCTCCGGTTGTGCCTGCAAGTTCTGCAGCGGCAACAACCATATCTGCGACGGAGGTGGCAAGATCTGCAACTGCAGTCAGTTTTGAAGCAGCGGCAACTGGCGGCGACAGGCGGCAACCGGCGGCGACCGGCGGTTGGTGGTGGTCCTGCGTTCTGGTAGAATGCAGCAAGACTTTCCAGCTTCGAGGGTGTTTTTGTCCAATTACAAATAATAACTCCCATTTAAGAATTTATTTAACTTTAGTCCTATTTTGGCAATTAAAGATTTATTTACTCCTATTTAGGTAAATACCCCAAGATGCAAGGGGTTGAGCAATATGTAGAAGTTGACTCCATCAAAATCATCGGAGGTACATTGGAGTTCAAAGTTCAAACGACATTGGAGTTCAAAGTTCAAACGCCTTCCTCAGAATAATCTCCACTTAGAGATGTGATTCCTACCTCTCTGTCTATTTGGAAGTTGTCATAGTTCAGACACCTTCAGAGAAGCTCTATTGTACCGTGTATTTTGTATCCCCTCCCGTTTCAATTTGTAATTCTGATTTCCGTTAAACTTCTTAAGGAATAGTGGAGAGATTGCTCCTAAACTGCCATTTGTAGGACTCGATCATTGATAACTTGTTAAGTTGTTATAAATTCTACCATTGTGACCAACTAAATTGCCCGTGTAGGCAATAGTTGTACTTCAATTATGCCTTTATATGTAATTTGTGGAAGAGAAAGACTGACACACTTGGGTCAAAATTTAGCATATATTTTTATAACTTTACATATTTTTGTGTATATATAATTATATATGCACCATAACTCCTTTAAAAAAACTGCACCATATTTATATTGGACTTTTTAGTGTTGTCGAATGAGAAGAATTGTCAATAATGAAGTTTGAGCCTAATGTTTTGTAGAAACTAATCCATACGAAATAGTAAATATAAATATAAATATAAATATGTATGAACATTGCATTTTTACGTGAGGCTAATGTCCAAGTCACTCTCATTTGCCCTCACCATTTTACAAGAGTTTGAGCCTTATAAGCTATTAATGGAGCTCCAAACTTCTAAGCTAAAAAAGGGGGGAGTGGTACAAGGCTAACCTCATGGGGCAAAAAGGGTCGAAATGGGCCGGATGGGCCGGAAAGGGCCCAGTGAGTTGAGATGAATCAAACTGATCGAGATCTATATAATGGGTGGGCAATGCATTGTACTCCTGAACGGGAAAAGGGTCAAAATTGACACCAAGGTTTTTAATGAATCTCGTATATGACATTAAGGTTTATTGGGGACCAAAAAAATACAAAAGAAAACCTTTTCCTTAACTATTAACCACCCTCTAACTGGCCCGTTAAGCTCCCGTTTCCCCCTTTCCCCCTGCGCATAAAAAGACCCCCAAAATTAGTCGAAGAACCCTACTTCATTATCCCCAACCTATTATCCAGACAAATGTGCAGAGGAAACCATAGTAATGGGAGATAGGTCTTCACCATCAAGGTCTGCAGGGATACAGAAATCATCCTCCGTTGATTCAGTCCAGTGTGGAACGAATATTGAGATGCAATATGGTGGGGGGGCGAGGTTTTGTAAATGTAGGAGCCGAACTGGAATCCCTGTGAAAGCTCGACTTTGGACCTCATGGACTGATAAGAATCCTGGGAGACGGTTTTATGGTTGCCGTTTTTATGAGGTATTTTATTTTAAATTTTTTACAATGGTGTCATTTATCCCATTTTGATGTTTTTCATTTTAATGGCTGCAGAAGGATGGTTGTGGGTTCTTTGAATGGCATGATGAACCTCTAACAGATAGGGCCAAGCATGTTATCAATGATCTAAAAAAGGAGAATACAAGGCTTCACAGTACAATAATGGGACTAGAGGAGGCCATGCGTGCAGGGGAGGCCATAGCTGCAGGTGGGGAGTTTGATGAAACACCAAATCCAGAATTTGAGCATACCTTTAAACAAAACAAGGAATTTGAGGTTCAAGAGCTTAACCATACAGAGATTGCAGAACATCTGGAGTTACATAGAGGAACAAATTTGAAGAGGAATTATGTGATTGTACTGATGTTGTCTGCCCTTGTTGTTCTCATATGTATGATTTTAGGTTAATAATGTAAAAAAGTATTCTGTTGTAATCTTGAACACCATTGATGGGCAATGTAGTAGCTTCTTTAGTATGTATGCACTTGGTTTAACATTAGTATGAAATGACTTTCTATTTGGAATTCATTTGTGTTAATTGTTGTGTGTGTTTTCTATCTTATAGTTTAATTATACAATAGTTGAGTGCTAAGGAATGGCTAACAAAACTGTATGAAACTTACAATGTGGGTTGAGGTTTTGTTGAGGTGTTGCTCAGGTGAAAAAAATACATGTTCTGCCTAAAGAAATGAAGGTCTATATTGCTCAATACATGAGGTCTTTTTGAGCTCTTATACCAGACCTATTCTGCCAAAAATAAACCAGGTCTTCTTTATTGTGTTATAGAAGACCTGGAACACCAAACACCAATAAATACCAGACCTCAAATTCCAAACACCAAATACCAGACCTCAAATTACAAACACCAATACCCAGGTCTTGTTCAACTAAATATAACATATTCCAAAGACCAGACCTAATGAAGACCTGTTTTTTTTGTCTTCTTCTGTCCAGGTCTTCTTTAGGTTGTTATACCAGACCTGTAAGATTACAACTTGCATATCAAACCAAGTTCTTATGTCCAAGTTGTAACCTGTAAGTTGTATACAATACCAGACCAAGTTCTATCAAACTTACAGGTAATATTATCAACATAAACCCCTGATTAACAACTTAATGAACCTGATTACACCAAACATATAAGAACTTATATAAATACTTGTTATCATTATAGGTAATATTACGAGTTGTTAAAGAGGTTACAAAATTCAAAAGGATATGGCTACCTCTAATTTAACACTCCAAAAAAAGCCTATAAGTTGGCCACCTTGACACAAGTACAATAGTTAATGCTGTCACCTACTAACCCAAAAACTGACAGCTATAATTACATCCTACTGGGCAAAAATATTTTAGATACAACATTGAAGTCTTCATTCAGCTTTCATGTCTTCTCCTTCCAAGCATTTAAAGTGGTGGTTGACCAGCATCACCATGGGCACCAGATTCCTTCCTCACAGTAGATTCCTTCCTCATTTAGGTCTTGTTTAACAACTGTCTTGTGCTGATAGCTTTCTTTCCCTTCCAATGCAAACCGGGTGGTTCAAAGGGCAGGTTGGTAGGTTTTTGTACTTGAGCTCCATCACCCTTGAAACTTATTGATCTATATGCAGGGACATCAATCTCCTTTTCAAATTGGACAGCACTTCGAATTTCCTTCTCATTAGGAATTGGAAATCTGACATTGACATCAGGGTCATGTGCCACCTCATGACTGAATTCAGAAACAACTTCTTCACTAGGCATCCCAGGCTGCATCCAAAATGTACCCATTGCAAACTGAGTCAGATAAAATAACACACCAGATCTGCAGTTGCACAAAAAGTACAAGATTTTGAGGTATATGAACTCACATTTATAGTCTTTGCACCAGTGTTGACATCAACATAGCACCCAAAGCCTGTGACAGGTTGTTTGCCTTTAGACCTGCCCATTCTTCTACATACCAGTTTCGACTTACCCTTTCGGTTGTCAGTACTTTCTTCCACAGATGCTGGTCTCTTCCTTTGATTGACACCACCAGGTGTACTCACAGGTGCAGGACTACCATGTTCCCTTGATTCATTTGTTACCTAATCACAACATTGATATATATATATATATATATATATATATATATATATATATATGAATCATATGAACTCCTCAGAAATAACAAAGAAAGATAAATTATACAATTACTCCTAACTATAATCATTATCCTATAGAGCCATTATACTATAATCATTAGAAATCTAACATACATGTACCATCATAATAGCCAATCTTATGTATACTGAAAACCCCATGTATAACTTACAGGTTCTGTACTAAGAGTTGCAGGAGTAGCCTGTTCCCTTGATTCATTTGTTACCTAATCACAACATTAATATATATGAATATTTATCAGAATCAATCAACATAAATATGAAACACACATATATGATAAAACCAGTCCTATGCATACTCAAATAGTCATATTTAACTTACAGGTTTGTCTTTATTAGGACATTTTGCCCTCTTATGCCCCTCCAGATGACATATTCCACAGGTTTGGATTTGTCCTTTTCTTGAAGCTCTATGGGATGATGTAATATCAGCCACTTTTGAACCACTTACAGGGCCTTTGACCTCATTGGAGCCTTTAACTCTGTTCTTCTTTGGTCTGCCAGGTAAGTTAGGAACTGGGGGAGGTAGAATAGGTTCATATTCCTCCACCTTCATGAAAGCCTTGCCGGGGACAGGTTTATGGTACCATCTACATATGTATGAAAGGGCATCTTCCTTCTTATAGTATAATGCACACAAGGCATGTAAGCAAGGAATCCCAGTTAATTCCCAAGCTCTGCAAGTGCAAATCATTTTATCTAACATCACAGTGTGTTTATCTTCACCCTCTCCAATCTCAAAGCCCACATCGCCATTAAAAATTATCTTGCATCCTGTGGCAGCCTCCTTATTGGCTTGATAGTACTCCATACAAGTGGGAGACCAATCATTTATCCACTTCTCATGACTGCTCTTAAAATCAGAAAGCCTTTTCATTGCCTTCAACCGTATTTCTTCCAGCATGCTCACAATGGGTTTTGCCCTAGCTTCTCTTATCAATGCATTAAATGACTCTGTGATGTTATTATCAACCATCCAGCATTTGCTTTGGCTACTAAAGTATGCCCTGCACCAAGTTTGAATAGGATATTTTAAAACATCTGAAGCAGCTTCATTACTCAACTTTCCAAGCCTTTTTAAGTTATTTTCTAGCTCTTCTTCATATGTGCTCCATGCACATATCCAAAATTTCTTACAGAACTGGTCACCTCTCCATTTCTTTGACCAATTTGCATATACATGTCTTGCACAAAACCTGTGCTCTGCATCTGGGATCACATCCTGAGCTGCAACGATTAACCCCTTTTGCATATCTGAGATAAGGGTTAAATCAGAGCCAGTCTTCAGATCTAGTTCTTGAACAAGCCAGGTTAGGAACCACCTCCAATTGGACTTGTTCTCTTTGTCAGTTACAGCCCATGCTATAGGAACCATTTGGCCATCTCCATCTACCCCAACTGCACTCAACAAGATCCCCTTACACACTCCCTTTAAAAAACATCCATCAACCCCTATTATTCTCCTGCAACCTGCCAGCCAATTCAGCCTCAAAGCAGCAAAACATATAAACATTCTCTTGAAAACTCTCTTTCCTTCTTTCAATGCAACATTACATAATTCTATTTCAGCCTTAGAACCTGGATTACTTCTCTTTAAAGTGGCTGCATAAGCCTCCAAATATCCAAATTCAGCCTTATAGCTCCCATCCATCTCCTGGATAATCAGTCTCTTTGCTCTTTTGCATTTGTACAGGCTTACATTTATCTTTAATTTCTTTTCAGCCTCCTCTTTCATATCTGCAACTCTGAAGTTTGGATTTTTTTGCAAATGACCTTTGAAATAATTTGCTAACCATTTCTGGCTAGCACTTGGAATTGAGTAATGCCTGAAACACTTGTGTTGAGGATTACAAACCTTTACCGCCAACCCTTTGTTCTTGCCATCTTTAGATATCCACAGTCTAAAGGGACATCCCTCCTCATTCAGACATTTCACAGCCAAACGGTTCGTCTCATTTGGTTTTATTTTCAGCTTGTACCCAAATTTGACTCCATAATTAGCTATTGCTATTCTAGCCTCTTTCACATCTTCAAAAGTCATGCCATTCATGAAACTCCCAGACCCATCATTCACACCATAATTCTGGGTGGCCTCATCATCAGAGGAGTCCTCAGATTGGTTGCTCTCCTCCTCCTCCTCCTCCTCCTCCTCTTCATGGCCTCCATTACAATCTTGATCACTTTGATATCCATTTGGGACACCACCAGTGCAAATTTCACTTGGGTCTCTAACATGTTCACTGCCACCATCAGAGGAGAGCCCATTCTGCCTTTCACCATTGAAGTTGTCACCATTGTGGTTTGTCACAGTACTCCCTTCTAGCAGGGGAATTAGAAGTGGTTCATCCAATTGATGATCAGCAAACAGTTCAATATCATCAATCCAGGACAAGTTTCTAATACGATTAAGCACCTTCCTTATCATGTCATCATCTTGAACTAAAAACAGCCCATTATCCATGTCTTTTCCAGGTTCTAACACATATATGTTTTTTAGAGTTTTAAAACCCAAATCATCCTTATATTTCCGAGCTATGTCATGATAACACAAATAGTCAGGGTCAAATCCATATATGGTATCCACATCCCCATTCACGTACTGTAAAGGCTTCAACAGCCACCTCCCGCTATGGTTAAACCTCAAGTTGACCAACCCACTCATTTTTACACAGAAAGTTATAGTAACGGAATACCTTAGTAGAGTGTTTCAACGGAGTCCATCAGCTTTGCAATCTCCAGTTACAGTCCATCAACGCCTTATCTTCTCAACCGAGTACGATTTACAGTCCAACAAAGTTCGCTTAGGGTTCAAAATTGGGGTTCAGTGTTTATGCGCAGGGGAAAGGGGAGTTTTAGTTAGGGGGAAACGGTAGCTTAACGGGCCAGTTAGAGGGTGGTTAATAGTTAAGGAAAAGGTTTTCTTTTGTATTTTTTTGGTCCCCAATAAACCTTAATGTCATATGCGAGATTCATTAAAAACCTTGGTGTCAATTTTGACCCTTTTCCCCTCCTGAACTATAATAGACCGGAATAATATATCACAATATATTTTAATAGTGGTTCTTAGTACTTGTTTAGTTCTTTTTTAGTTGTAACAACCCACTTTTAATGCTTGTCAAAACACAAGTTTCATCACTAATATCTTTCATTTCTTAATAGTAAAAATATTAAAAGATTCAGATTTTGAAAATTTAAAATTAGAGGAATTCAAAAATACTTTTAAAAAATTGAACTTATGATATATCAATAAATAATATATAGTCAAAATAGAATATGTGAACAGTGCAAAAGTACAATGTTGCAGTTAAAATAGAACGAAGGTAGTATATAGGTAATTGTGTAGTGATTAGAAGGATAATTAAACAGGTTAAGTTACATTTTTGAAAACGGAAACTATTATATTTTTGTTAATTAAAGTTACTATTTATGCTTTTCTCAATTTTTAATCTATGAAAAAACATAATATCACAATTATATTCACTGACAAACAAACATGCCTATCAAAAAGGAATTTGAAATAGTAATTTCAAATGAAAACGAAATATGGCCCATCAAACCGTAAATATGCATTAAAAAGACGCGCGAGATTTACAAAACTCAGAACAATTGCGGCAATTGTTGAACATCGGGCTTAAAGTCGGGCCCAAGCCCATTAGAAGCCCGTAATTTGTCAACGTAGCTTCGAACCTCTTGCGCGATCATACGCTGCATGATACTTAAAAAACTCGTCCCGTCACCGGATACGTTACCCAACGGCTCCTCTTCCGCCGTTGACTTTTCGCCGACGGGTTGACCGAACGGATTTCCTCCCGGCGGGAACAATGACAGCAAAGTCGCCGGTGCGTCTCCGCGGCGGAGCTCACCGTCCTCAACGCCCCCACCGCTTCTACTGTACTCCTGCGACGCACAGGATTCCTCCCTCTTCACCGCGGACAGTGACTCGTCCGACGAATCGTCCACAAACGCCCGTTTCGCCGCCGCCGCCGCCGCCGCACAACCCCCGGCGGTGCGCTTCCGCCGGAGCGTGGAGTTCCAGTGGTTTTTAATCGCGTTATCCGTCCTCCCGGGCAGGAGTTTCGCGATGGCGGCCCATTTGTTGCCGTGAACAGAGTGCGCGCGCCGGATGACGGCGTCTTCCTCCGGCGAGAAGGGGCGGTGGTGCACGGACGGGCAGAGCTGATTGCACCACCGCAGACGGCAGGACTTGCCGGAGCGGGAAGGTATTCCGGTGCTGATTAGAGACCAGTTGCGCGGGCCGTGTTGCCCCACCAGCTTCACGAGAATTGCGTCTTCTTCTGGAGTCCATGAACCCTTCACCTTTCCTCTTCCGCCGCCTATCTCCGCCATGGCCAAGTAATTAATTGATTAATTAATTAATTAATCAACAGTTAATTAATTTATCCTCTTTGAATTGCTAATCCGGATTACATATATATATATTAGAAGATAGTATATAGATATAGAATAGAATGGGTAGGGTTTAGCAGGTTGGGGGAGAGATGGATATGTAACCGAAAGGAAGAAGGGGTAGTTGGCATGAACCGTAAACTGCTCACGCATTGACGAAACCGTTTGATTAATTAATTATTTAATTTGTTTTTGGTTGTTACTTGTTAGTTGGATCGCTTGTTAGTTGTTGATTTAGACATTTGCCACCTAATAAAGTACTCTGATTTTACACTTTTGAAAGAAATGTAGTCTAATTCTCCATTTAGCGAGCCGTTTGATTTGTCATCTACCCAATACACATTTTAAAATACGGAGTTCGTATGTGTATATATCATTTTATTGTCTAATTCCACATAGTATCTCAATTGATTGAGTGAGAGAAAAGTTAACACATTGATTAAGGATCAAAATTCACTATGATTGTTTGAAGGCTACAACTCTTGTGTCCTGGACCACTTGTGTGTACGTGTATAATGTCTATCATCATTGGACTGACTAAGTCATCGTGTCTTACAACCTTTCAAATGGCTTGTCGGGTCGGGGCGTGGGGGCCTTGAGATTGAGGATTCAATCTTTTGGAAAAAA